CTTTGGATATGATCGTTGAAGCTCTATTCCATCCATCCTCCAACAACGTTGTTTGTCTACAATAAATAAATAACACAAGCACTAGACAAACAACATTAGTTGTAAATTGATTGTTAAACATCATCAAAACAAGAAGGCCAACAATCTTCCCCTTTTTGATGATGACAAACAATTTACAAAAAGGAATATATGCATGAAGGAAATGAACATATACAAGATAATACACATGCATATAAACAAGGAATTGTATACTCATAAAATTTCTCCCCCTTTGACAACATCAAAAAGGGAACAAAAGAATTAAGAGAGCGAAAGCTCCCCCTACAAATAAGCATGGGTGAGTATAAAACAAGTATAGGGATTGCTCCCCCTATCAAAAAGCCATATAGAAAATATGCAATGAAGATCATGGCAAACATATGTGAGCAAGCATAGATGGAAAATATGCTAAACACAACTCACATACAAACAAGATAATGAGAACACATATCATATATAGAAATACCAATATGAAAATAGTGTCTCATAAAGAACATAAAAACATATATAATAGTAGATTTATGAAATCAAAAAAGAGGAACATGAGAGTTATGCAAAAAGTTTTTAAATGAAAACAAGTCAACCAAAAGAAATCATAAATCAAAGTTTAAATCCAAAAACGATGTTTGATCAATCAAGAAAATTTTCTTTGTGGTATTTGATCAAACCACATATGGAATATATTATAAGGCACGAATAGATGATCCATAAGCACAAACACATAAATATCATCATATAAGTGAAATATAATGAATTCAAAGCAATAATTCATAACAAAATCTTTGATAAAATAATTTCAAGAGAGGCAACAATATATCAAGTTCTTAAGCTTGGTCTAACCCATATAATCATTCTAGCATCCGGTAAACATGATTTGGGAATAAACACCCAATAAACCCGGAGGGTTATATAAACACAAACCTCTCATTTAAAATCAAAACTAATAATCATGAAAATAAAAGATTTGATTAAAGAAAAATTATTTTCATAACCAAAAGATTTTAAAACATAATTTTCAAAACCAAGAAAAGAAAATTAAAAACACTAAAATTCTTGGTTTAAAATCAAATTTGTTTTGGTACCCAAGTATTCTTG